TTCATTGCTGGTGGGAATGCAAAATGGTACAACTACTTTGGAAGACAGCTTGGAAGTTTCTTATACAACTAAACATACTGTTAATATATCCTATAATTCTGCCCTTTGATATGTACCTAAGATAGTTGAAAATATATCCATATAAATACTAGCACACAGATGTTTAAAGCAACTTTATTCATACCTTCAATTGGTAATTGAATGGATAAATGTACTGGGGTACATCCAGACAGTGTAATATTATACAGTATTGAAAATGAATAAGTTATAGTCATGAAAATACATGGGGGAACTTTAAATGAATATTAATAAGTGAAAGAAAAGGCTACATATTGTATGATACTAACTATATAATATTCTAGAAAGAGATAAAACTATGAAGACAACAAAAAGATCAGTAGTTGCTAGAGATTGGAGGAAAAGAAGGATGAATAGGTAGAGCAGAGAGCAGTTAAACTATTCTGTATAAATACCATAGAGCAAAATGTAAAATCACAAACGCCCAATGTAAGTTTTTGTCTATCTGAACGCACAATGTCACCACTGCACTTTGATCATTTCTGAAAAGTCTCTCATGCTGCTTTCCAGTTATGGCTGAATTGAGTCCATCTCAAATTCATTCACTGAGAACAGCTCAATTTCTCAAAATGTGACCTTATTTGTGGATGGTATTTTTGCAGAGGTAGTCAACAAGGTCATTAAGGTGGTCCCTAACTCAATGTGACTTGCATGCAGAGAGAACACGGTGTGAGCATGAAGGCAAAGTCAAGATCAAGCACCTACAAGCCATGGAATGCCAAAGACAACCAGCAAACCACTAGAAGCTAGGTGAGAGGTGTGGAACAGACTCTCTTCCATACAGCCTGCTGGAGGAACCAGCTCTGGCAAAATCTTGGTCTTGGATTTCTAGTCTCCAGAAATGCTTTTGTTGTTTAAGTCACACAGAGTATGGTCCCTTGTTAGGGCAGCCCTAGAAAACTGATAGACCAGTCAAAATCTCTTTCAGAGGTAATATAATACTCTGATTTCTGTCACTTATGGGTTAGGTTTGTCTGTCTTATACTTTATATTTATAGAATCATATATGCCTTTTGTTCCTGTTTTTTTTGTTCCATGTGTTTTGAGATTTATTTATTTATTTATTTATTTATTTTGTAACTCTAGCTTATTCTCTTCTGTATTGCTCTGTAATGCTTCATTTTATGCATTTTATACAATTTCCTTGCCAGTTTTTCTCTTAATGGACATTTGGGTTGTTGGCAGTTTTTCATTAGTGAAACAAAGCTTCTATGACCACTTGTTCAGATCATTTTGTGAACCTATCACTGAGGCTATTTCTGTTGCCTGTTTTTTCTCTTATGGTCTCTCTCTCTCTCTCTCTCTCTCTCTCTCTCTCTCTCTCATATTTCAGAATGCCTGGTAATTTTTAAATTAATCATGGAACATCATTAATGAAAAATTGTGGCAGCCCGGTAAGATATTAACTTTGTCTAGTGGGGATTTAATTACCTTCCAACAGGCAGTTAGAGGAGGAAGATGGAGATCATTTGGGGTTGGGCCTCAGTCGTCTTTAGGTTGGGTCTTCTTTGGTTTTCCCTTAGTTCTATGTCCTATGGGTCTCAATAGAAAGCCTGGGTGTTTAACAGGGCCCTTCTTCCTTGGTCCTGAACTCCAATTTTGGTCCACTCAGTGCTGTGAGACTCCCTAAGCCTCTGCTTGACTTCATAGTCTTTTAGCACTTGCTTTTACATGGGGGTCTCAGTTTCTCATCCCACCCACTTTGAAATCAGCACATGACTCGACAATAAAGAAGAAGAGCTCCATTCTCTGTGGTTCTCTTCTTCCCGGGGCTCTTGACCCTCTGCATCCTGAGCTCCAGTGTTTGTCTCCTCTGTCCTGCAAGACTCTCAAGAGTTCTCAAATGCCACTTTCTGTTCAGTTTTTAGCCCCAGTCATTTTTAAACCGGCAAATGCCCCACAGGGAAGAAGGCTAGTATGTGAGGCTTAAGTGAACAGGTTTCTCCTCTCCTGGGTTCTAGCCATCTGTTGCTCTCCAGTGCCTTCAGATTTGTAAAAACTCAGCATGTATAAATGTTCTTGGTGAGAAGGTACCTATAACCACCTCTTTTGGATGGAGCTTCATCATTCAAGTTGGCTCTCATTCATTGAGACTGCTCTGAGCCAGGCACCATACCTCAGGCACTTTAATGCTTTTTCTCTTTTCTTTTCTGAATACTCACAACAGTCTTCTGAAATAGATATTCTGACCACTCCCATTCCATAGGTAGAAAACACAAGGCTCTGAGAGATGAAAAGATTTAACCATAATTCTATGTCTTTAATGAAGACATAAAAGGTGAATCAAACATAACTGAGGCCAAAGCCCAGACCCTTAACTGCTAAGCACCCAGCCTCTTGAGTCTGACCTTGAGGTCAGGACTAGCCCCAGGCCTCCCACCTCCGGAAAGCCCTCCCATTGCCATCCTTCCGTAGCAACCACTATTTGTGCCTGAGTCTCCCTGAGCCCCCAGTGGCGGTGCTGACATCCCAAGCATATGGGAAAGCCTCCCTGGCACATCTGGCAGAGTCCTGGGCTTGCAGGAACACAGGGAGATAGTGGGGAGGAGGGAACTCGGGCAGGAGCCTGCACTTAATGCTTTGGGCACTCCAAATGTAGATACAGTTCCCATCTCTGGGGGAGCTGATTGCCTAGGAAGCCTGAGTGGTGGTATCACATTGGCTGCAGCAGGTAAGGATGGATGATTATGGCTGGAGTTCTCTGTTTTCCCATTAGTTACTAAGCAACGAACCAGAGTGAAGGCAGGACCTAAGTGCTTAGAATAGAAGAAGCAGGCAGAAGCGTCTGTCAGAGGCCACATGGGTTACTCATGAGGAGTGAGTAAGCAGAGGGCTGGGGGCAGTGAGGTGGACCAGGCACCTGCTGGCTGATTGGGGTGGCCCACCTTGCACCCTTCAGCTATAAACACTGAGAGGTCCCAAGATAGCCAGGGTCTGATGGGAGAAAGAAAGAACATTGCSGCTGACACATTCTGGGGCTTGTGCTTGGCACAGATCTTCCTGGAGCCTTGATTCCCCCTGCATCTGATGGGCACATGTCTTTGGTCACCTTGGCAGGGTGGTGGGTAACAAGGGTGACATGAACACATTGGTGGACTGTGACGAGCCATGCCACATGAGAGGTCACCACTGCCATGACATTCATTCAGAGCCCAAAGTTGTGGGTGGGCATCCACCTTGACATTTTCTAGACTGCTTGCAGATCAATAGAGCCAGGAGGAGTGGGCATTAGAGACATCTTTCTTGATGCTCTGCAGGACAGGCCACCTTCTGTAAGTGGCCTTTCTCTCTCTGCTGCACCTCACCTTTTCCTGAGAACCTTTGGAGACTGCCACATTGCTTACAGCTTCCTTGGCTAAACTCTGTCCAGCCAGAATGAGCTCCTCATGCTGTGGGAGCTCCCTGCCAGTGGCCATCTGTCCACCCACAAAGATCTCCTTTCCAACACACCTGAGCTGCTTTCACCCCACTTAACATCCAGGGGGGAAGGAAGCTTGTGGACACTGAGGTTGTGGTGGTAGGAATGTTGCAACCCAGGAGGGAACCCCACCTTTCAGCAGGCCCCTCCTAGAAGGGGTCCCAGACTGGGATTTTCCAACTCCAGGCAGTGGATTAGTTACACTTCTGCAAATGAAAACTACACTTTAATTATCTTTCCTAAGGAGAATAAGGAAGAAAGCAACAAAACCGAAACATGTTCTGACACATCATGATACTGAACCACAGCCATAAGAAGCGTCCCTGGTCTTGCCCCACCCCAGACCCACTTCCTCGAGAGAGCTCACAGATGCAGGGCTAATGCAGATGAGGCCCTGGCCATAAGGTAAGTGGAGGTCAGAGGGACTAGAACCCTCAGGGAGGCTGGGAGATGCGATCCTCACCAGACACACACTCCAGAGTGTCTTTCTAGACAGGAGGGCTGGGTTTCCACTTCCACAGACCAGCCAGGATCCAGGAGACCTTTGACTGTCCCTTCAGGGCTCCGCTCTGATGGGTGACTTCTGTCAGCTCTGGATCACTCAACAGAGCAGAGTATGGTCACACAGAGTGGCAGTGAATCCTTTCTGAGAGATTCTTTCGGGGTCTTCATACCTTGGGATTGGTTTCTAGAAGTGRAGTATGAGTTTCTGGTTAAATCTGAAGGCATGGCTGCCCATCCCAGCTGTCCTGGAGAAATGTGGGCAGAAATACTGTACACTAGCTAAAAGGGGTGTCCCAAGAGGCCTAGGCCTTGCTGTTAGACTGGAAGGTCAACATTAACCTAATACATCCAAAAGGCAGGAGGTACAGATGGTTGGGCACAAGGAGAGACCAGGATTCTGTACCATCCAGCACAGGCTCCTTGTCCTACAGCTCTTGAGGATTAGTCTACTATTTGTGGTGTCTTGGGACCTGACTTCACTAGTGTGGGCTTCTTATTTAGTCCAGATGTGCCTTAGACACTTGCTCTGGCCAGGTGCTGTCTGTACTGGGTAATGGGACACAATCTACCTGCCCTTGGGAGACCTCAGGGAGATAGGAGAGGAGTTCAAGGAAGACAGGACAAGGGCTTACAGAACTCAGGTATGAAATACAAAATGCAGCTGGTGCCCCAAAAGGGATTCTCCCTTTTGTGGTTGCCAGATGACAATTGGGATCACCTTCCCCAGGCCAAAAAAAAAAAAAAAAATACTCATAGAAGAGGAAGCCTTTGAACCTGGCCTTGAATAATAAGGAGCATTTGGGATGGAATATGGGTATGTGAAGTGCTGGAGAGTTTGTGTTCCTCAAATCCATGCAGAAACAAAGCTGATCATTAGAGGTGGCTTTATGGTATGTGTCAATGAGTTTCTACAGGAAAAATTCCTGGAGATGGAGTGTGGGACAAAGGATGTGTGCATTTCTCACTGTAGTAGACATTGCGGACACCTCCACTGAGCGCCTCTGGGTTCTTCAGCGAGTGATCTCTTGGCACTCTCCACCTTTTGCATCAGCATCTGCTTTCTGCTCAGAGGTGAAGATGGGATGCTCATCCCCTTCACAAGGGAGAAGTGCCAAGTATCGTGCCCAACCTACAGGAAGTGCTTAGAAGATGCTTGCTGTCCTTATTCTCCCTTTCTGATACCYAGGACCAAATAGGCTGCCCTCACCTGTGTCCTGCCACACCTCCAGAGCTAGGAGCACTATCTCCTCCTCCAGCTGGATGCTCCTAAGGAGAAGGGTAATTTGCATCTGCTGATCCACAAAAACTGATTCGGTRCCAGGCTTAAAGGAAGGCTCAGGGAGGGTTTGTTGTGTGATTGCCAGATAGAAAGATGGTGTGGACTGTCTACTCCACTCTTCCCATGAAGTGGGACCAAATTATCTCCAAATGCTAGTCCACCAAAACCCCACCCTGACAGGTGGTATGCCCCATTTGCTGCATGGGAAGATGGACATACTCATAATACAGAAAACAAGACTCAGAGAGGATAGGTGGCATGTCCTACTGTCTAAACACCAGAAGACATGAAGCTAGCACTAAACTCAGTTCTGCAACCTTGACTCCATCTTGGGTTGGGCAGAATCCATGAACATGTGTTTTTGATTAGCTAAATGTGGCTGGGGACAGGGGGTCTCTGAGGTGAACAGGCTGTGTGACCTCAGGGAGCCACAGAGGTGTGTCTCTTTTCCATCCTCTCAGGAGCTCATCCATGGAAAGTTCTCTGACAGTCCTGCGGGTAAGCCTGTACCACCCCACACTGGGCACTGCCGCCTTCATCAATGTCCCACTGGAGTTGCAGCATGACACCAGCCCACTGCTGATTGGCCGGGGACATGACACCCACCTCCAACTGCAGTTGCCCCACCTTTCCCGCCGACACCTGTCCCTGGAGCCCTACCTGGAGCCCGGCAGCACTCTGCTGGCTTTCTGCCTCAAGAACCTGAGTCGCAAGAGCTGTGTGTGGGTCAATGGACTGCTGCTGAGGTTCCTGGAGCAGGTCCCCCTGAGTGTCACCAACAGGATCTCCTTTTCCAATATCCAGATGACTATCCACATAGAGAGAGGCACCTCCCTTGAGGCCTTTGTCTGCTGCTTCCATATGAGCCCCTCACCCCTGATTTACAGACCCAAGGCCGAGGAGACAGACGAATGGGAAAGCATCCCCCAGGGGCAGCCCCTCCTGGGTTCAGAGGAGCGAACTCCAGTTCACCTGGGGCTCTCTACATCCCCTCCCAGACTTGGAACAGCCCACTGCAGTCAAGCCCTGGAGGAGGAACAGAAATATAGCTCTAGAGGGAGCTGCCAGACACTGCTCTCTGCTAGCCCTGCTGCTGAGAGCAAGCCTTGCTGAAACAGGGCTTGAAATATTTGAGCTACATCATGCAAAGTTGACATGGAAGGTTGACATTCGAGGCATGCTGACTGCCTCACTTATAATGAACCAATTCTGCAAACGCTGAGCAGCCAGGGGGTGGAGAAGCACCCTCTGTGGCTAGAAGTAATGGGAACTTCATATACTTTTAGAGGCCCTGAGGGGTTCTGGGGAGACTCTCTCAGCATTTCCCCACATTCCCCGCCTTGTCTGACTAGGAGTTACTTTATGTTGCTCATTTCGCACACTGCATAAGAGGAGGAGTTTGAGGTTGCAGCAAGAATGCACGGACACATGTAGCAATTACGTTTGTGGTAGCTTGGGGTTACCTTCAGCTTTCAAATACCCACAGGCACTCAGGGCTTAGGGAAGCCTGGGTTTAATAAACTGCAAGTATTTCATTAAGCTGGCATACCCAATAGGATTCTCTGATCCCCATATGGGCCACGTGAACGCCACGTTGTCATGCAGAGGTGGGGGTGGGAAACCTAGAAGAGGTGTAAGAGGAAATTGGAAAGGTAGAGGCTCACATTTCTGGAAAGATGCAGGCAGAGCTCAGTACTTCCAGGATGGGAGCCAGGAGCTGGGCCTGCCTGGAAATCCATTGTCACCGCTGTTACCATGGCCTTCCTCATCCTCACACTCTCCCATTCTCTGTTACTTCTGGATCAAAGCTTTGGCCAAACCAAGAGCAAAGAAAGGTCTTCAGAAAAAGGTGGTTTCCCAGAGCAAATGGGCTCTTTCAGGACTAATTCTGCARTGGGGACATTGTGTTAGAATTCAGTTCAGAAGTTGTTATACTCAGATGTGTCATTTATCAATGGGCGGAGGTRGTCTTTCCAAAAAAGGGACTGATAAGGATCTGGGCAGGCCAAAGGTGGGAGAAGGCCTCCGTGAACTGGGGGTGCAGCCTGCTGGCAGCCACTTGCCACGCTATCCTGGGAGTGTGGACTAGAATCAGTGTCCATCCATGTAATAGAGGGTGGGACCTACAAACTCAGATGGTCACCATGGTCCAGGGTATCCAAGATGCTGTACCCACTGTGACATGTGTCTGTGGGCTCTGTAACCACTTCTGACTTTTGCCATTTCCCATCAAAGAAAGACCCTTTTGCACCCATGACAGGCCGTAGGAGGTTCAACTCTGCTCCCAGACCCTTAGCCTCTTCCCCCTGGGGAAGTTAGMACTGGACAAGACCCAGCCATGCCTTTGCTTGGGAAGCTTCCCCTCCCTTGGAAATTAGAGCCACAAGGCAGAGGAGAGCATGGTCTGCAGGGAGGGGACTGATCCATGCTGTGAACAACCCCTTGGGACTGTTCTTCTCTCATTTATTCAACTTTCATCAAGCACCCSCCCCCTTTTGCCAGATGTGTACAAAGCCCCAGAAACTAGCACTGAACAAGGCTGACAGTCTCTGCTTCCACAGGCTCAGGAAGACTATAGGTTACTTACATGGGTTCAGGAGCTAGTGACTTCCTTATTTGATCACCACCGTTGATTGGTGCTCTAGTCACTGTATTTTCTCTCTCCTCCAGCTGGACATATTATTATGGACTCACTACTCTGCTGGGTGCGGTGTATATTGCTTTATCCAACCCCACAGCATTCCAGATAGGTGATGAATTGTATTAACCACATTTTACAAGTGAGGAAACTGAGGCTTCAAAGGTTAATTATCTTGCCCAACCCTACACCATTTACGAACTGCATGATCTTGGGAAAGTGACTTAGACTGTTTTTGCCTATATTTTTCCCTCTTGAAAATAACATGCAAAGTGCTTTGTGCCATGCCTGGTACACAGTAGGCATTCATAAGGGTCAGCCACTGTCTTGGGATCTGAGAGAAAGAACTCAATAGGTATAAAGTTGAGGGCTCACTGCAAACCTGCAGCTTAGGAAGATGTGAACCCTGGCAGGCTGGCTCCCGAACCCAAAGGCTTATTGCTTTCTGTGATTCCCTGATGGAGGGTTTGGTTTTAGCCCTGGACCTTTGAGTAGTCAGGAGGGAATTTTGACYTGTTTTTGCATCATAAGGCCCAGTAGCCAAGGTTTACAGAACAAGAAACACCTTGCTGGGGCTGGCAAGAAATGGCCACGCATAGTTTGATCTTACGGAGCCCATTGTTTGGAACTGCTGATTCTAAAGGCAGCAATGATCCCTCACAGACTGAAATGTGGCCCAAATGATGCATTACAGAGCACCTCCCACCTAGGGAAACAGAGGCCACAACTAGAGATTAGACATGAGCATCAAAGACAGAAGACAGCAAGCTGGTGGGAGCACTGGGGTCCCCAGGTGCAGCTTCCTGACTCCTTGGAGAACTTTGAGACAAGCTGCTGCCGCCGAGAGCCCCTCTCCAGGGCCTCAGTGAGGGTTCTCTTCCCTCTAGAAATGAGCAAACCTACCCTGCTGCGGTTCTCCAAGAGAGGGCAGCCCACTTCCTCCATGGCAGACTCTGCGACTTGGGTCTTTGGAATGAAGAGTCTATGAGCCCCTTGGGGACCCAGGATGCACTGAACAGCAGGCTGAAGAATCGCAGGCCAGACACAGGATGGGCGGGAGCCAGGAAACATCTGGTTTGCTGTTTCAGACTCTACCAACTCACGAAATCTCCCCAGGAAACTCACACTTTGCTTTTTACTAAGTTTTCAGGACAGCAAAATTCTGCCCATCCTAGGCTCCACTTTTCTTGAATAGATCCTTGACACCCAACCCCTCTCTCCTCACAGCTGGAATTTTCAGACCGGCTTCGGGCCATCGGGCTATACACTTGACACCACTTCCCTTGCGGCACAGGCAGCCTGAGCAGGGGATGAGTCCCTCCCAATCATCCCCTCTGTTGTCTCCCACATCCATGGTGGCTTGGTAGCCCAGGAGCATGCAGCTCATCAGCCCCCTACTCAGGGGCACACACACCCATGTGAACACCATGGAGCTCTGTGGTCAGACTACTCCTGGGTTAGAATTCATGCCGCCCACTTACTAGTTCTGTGATCTTTGGCAAATGCCAGAATCTCCCTGTGATGGAGTTTATTCTAGAAAATGAGGACAATAGCAGCACCTCCCCTCTTAGGGCCATCACAGAGGTCAAATGAAGTTCCACATGTAAAGCATCTAGGGCAGTCTGTGGCACACAGTAGGTGCTCAAGAGAGTCAGATATCATTGGCTAGTCCAGTGGGACAAACTGAACACAAGTAGACACAGGGACTAGTTCACAGGTGCACACACAAGAGCATACATCTGCTAAAAAGAGCTACATCCATGACAGTCATATAGACCCCAGAGCATTACAATTCTCTCTGAGGCAATGTTGGGAAATTTAGAAGTCATCCTGCATGTGGTCCTTTAAGGCACCTTAACCTTCACACTCCTCTGCTTTTCCAAGAATGGGAATCTTCCCAATCCATCTGCTGACTTGCAGAATCCATGCAGGCCAACGTGTCAATGGAAACACACTTGCCCCCACACAGTCACAGAGCAGGGCCCCAAAGCCCAAGGCAGTGCCATGAGGAAGCAATGGCAGGCACATCAGATGATCCAGTTTTGCTGCAGCCTAGGGAAAGGAAGCCTGTGGCTGACCAAGGCAATCCTATGTGGGGCATCAGCACACTAAGGCTACATATTCCACATTTGTCTTTCTAGTAAGACCTCAAAGCTCCTTACAGACAAAGACTACTGTTGTTGGAACTGGAAAAAAGGCAGATGGACAGACAGATAGGGCATTGGTGGTCAAGGCAGCCATTCAGGATGCTGAGGCCTGAGCCTGGCTTCTTAGGCCAGGTGCTGGAAGGCTGAGGCCCACAGTGCAGGGAAACCAGTCACCAGCATGAGGGAGAAGGTTGTGGAGCCTGGGCTCACAGTGGAGGTGGCTGGGACTCAGTGGGGCAGCCCAGAGCCTCCAAATAGGGCAGAACAAGGAGGTGCCTCCTTCTCATTCCTGAGCTTCTGTAGCTACAACTCAAGAGGAACCTGAGGTTTGGGGGTTCTTTGTGGTGACTGCTGAGAAGGTTGATGGATTCGACAAGGCACCATGTCGCGGAAAGCGAGAGACAGCTCTCAGCCAGTTCTGCCGGTCCCCAACAGAGGCACATAAGAGACAGACAGCCCCAGGAGATTCTGGGAGGGGCCCTGAGCAGTAGCAGTCAGGAACAGGCCTGACTACATTGAGTCAAGCCTGTTGCCCACCAAACATCCACAGGATCTGCTCTGAGTCCTCTCCCTGACCCTTGTGCAATGGGGGCCACCCCATGCAGACCCTCTTCCCCAAACACACACAAGCAACACAGCCCTGTTATACTCTCATTCCATCTGCATGCACCAGAACTGTTAAAGAGATTCCCCGAGACCCTAGGAGACCAGAATGTAACCCTGCTGGAGACATCTGCATCTTCTAAAAAAAAAAGGTCGGAGAGGGCAATGCTTAAACTGAAAGAGCATGTTTCATAGAAGAAAGAGTGGCATTAAAGGTTTCCAAGCAGGCCACTGGAGGACAAGGTCTGGTGGTGGCTGATGTCACCATAGTCCATGTGGTCAGCTGTCCCCTCCCTCCAGCATGGCTTCCCTCTGTCATCTCTACCTACGTCCCACTCACTGTCATCCCAGGACCACAGCCCATCCAAGATTCGAAGGAAAGAGTAAAAGTCTAGCACCTCAACCTGTAGGAGGAGATGCCGTGTCTAATGAACTCAGTTTGTGATGTGGGACTGCGATTCCTCTTACCTTTAACGTGAACTCACAGGAGGATTAAAGTGAAATAAAACCTACCATTTGAGTTACATTCTCAGCTGATTGGAAACATGCATTACCTCCGAGTGACCGGGCTGTGAGAAGGGAAGTTATTATCTTTCTTTAGAGTTTGTAAACTCTTTATGGCTGGAGCAGCTTTAATCCTGCTGGGGGAAAAAATGAAGCAGGAATAAATTGCTCCCATTTACCTTTGTTTTCCAATCACACGCTCCAGTGGGAACAAAAAATCC